ATGTCTCTCATTGTCTTTCAGAACAGATATGCTCTTATCTCTGAAATATGCATGACATTGCAGGTCAATATGCGACCCTTTATGTACGCTTTCCTTTTTTCTTGATCACCTTGTATAGTGTAAATACCATTCAAGTCACAAGAATTTGCAAGTTTTTCCATATTATGAACTGGTAAACTACTGTAAACCCACAAAAGTAGTTCAGCAGCCACAGGTTAACAAATAACAAGTATTAACCCTTTCTGTCTGCTTCATAATACTCATACACCATACCAAAAACATTTTTGTTAAACAGAATCTTAGCCAGCCTGGTCAATACAATTTGTTTGGCTGCTGCCCTCTCAGCACCTCAGGAGTTGTTGCAGTTGGTTTTGACTGCCACTGACCTGTCACTTTCTGGTCAGGGTTAGATACTACTAAAGCAAAACTGTAGAATCTCCAATCCCAGTTTCTCTTCCATCCCTTTGACTGTCCTTTAACATGAAGCACCAGAGAACAGCCAGGTTGGCATGAGGTTACAAGTTTCTGGGTTAAGAAGTTTAATTTGTCAGGATACTGTTATGCGGAAATGGCACTGCGGAAACTTGCCTGAACAAATATGTCAAGAATTGATCTGACCATCCCTGGTGATGGTTCTCATAAACACATTGGGAGGGTTCAAATACACGCATGCATGTTCGATACTTCAGCTCCGTGACGCATCGCAAAGAACCTATGGGATCACTTTAAAGGGGCCCACTTGCTTCTCGAACCTACCACTCTGCGCTGGCAACTCTTCTCCACAATCGGGCTTTCCTCCTCCACCAGGACTCTCACATTTTTGGTGTTCAGTATAGACTTCTCTTTTGTTGTTGTTTTTCAGTACAGTATAGTAGATGTGTATATGTTTATTTTTGATAATCTGTATGGAGCACAACCACCTCAAGGCCACATACATACATACATACATCAGCTACACTGCCCGTTTCTCCTCTGTTTTTTTGTTTGTTTGTTTGTTTGTTTTTTTTCCCTCCTTCTTCTCCGCATGCACTGTCGCTATATAACTCAGGACTTAAGCACCTGCCCCTCAATCCCCCCTGCTTGTTCCTTACTTTCCCCTTGACACACTTTGGTGTAACACGGCCCTCTCTGGCTCATATTAGGAAGTTTTTCCAATAAAGGCTGATAGGCTAGTCTCCAGGGAGGGTGGGTGACGGTCACAACCACGCACAGTAGGGGTATAAAATACTTGACTGCAAGATTAACAGTGTATCAATCTTCATAAGAAGCTTACACCCTTTCGTGGCGCTAAGCTATGAAGACCAATGCAGACAGGTAGAAAAAAAAAAAAAGAATTGATCTGATTGGTGCTGAAAAAGCATTAATTTGAATTAAATACATAATTTTAAAAAAAAATTGGAAATGACATTTGCAATGAAAATTGCAATTGCCCTCTTACAATAACACCTCACACCTAAACAACAAAACAAGATGTTTATTATCCAAAACAATTCTGTATTGGCGTACCCCAGCAGTTTGACATGTGCAAAAAGTCTCCATATCTAAACAAAATAGAAATATATATCTAAGCAAAATGGGTTACAAATAGATAAGTAAATTAGTTTGACCTGATGATAGTGGGAGAAAACATTAAGTGGATCACCAAATTTAAGAAATACCATGAATGTATGAATCAATTTGCATGGTAGTCAATTAATTATTCAATCAATTTGTCACATGAAATCATGTAAGCTACAAGTTTTGTGAAATGTATTAATCCAGTTACTTCCTTAGATTTGTGTGTAATAATTAATATATATGTATGAAGTATAGAAGTTCTTCCTGAGCCTCTCAGTGCTGCCTGGTGTAACCAGTGCCTTCCTCCTGACCTCAGCAGGAAGAAAAGGCAGTTATCTGGGTGGCTAGGATCTTAAATGATTCTCCTGGCCTCATTCTTGCAGCACCTGGTGTAAAGATCTCTTAGGCAGGGTATATCAGCGCCTGCAGTACATTCAGCTGAACAAACCACTCTTTGCAGGGCCTTGTCATCCTGGGCCCTGTTTCCCAGTTTCGATGTACCTTAGCGCTCTACAAAGGTCTCTAAGATATACCTTAGCTAAGGGACTTCTTTTCCCATGAGTGTTTCCCAAACTGTCCCTTAGTAGGTGCTCGTAAGGAGAGCTGCTAAGGTACATCGTAAGTTGGAGCTGTCCTTCACCACGGTGCTGACAGTTTATTAATCGATGCTGCACACATCGATTGATCTTATATGAAGGTAAATAAATGACATTTTAACATAAAAAGTTTTGCCATAATAATTTTACTTCCATCAAATATTATATCATAAATGAGGCTTTGCCTTTTACAGAACATCTGCTCATGTATTTGAAGCCTAGTCCACACATACACGGGTATTTTTAAAAGCAGTGCTTTAAAAATAAATTTCCTTCCAGATGAACATTTTGGCACCATTTCAGGACAAATCCCCTGAAGCATATCACATTAAAACATGACTTACATGACCCCGTTATAAACAAGGAGACCAATGATGAAGCAGAGAAAAGTGATTGCTGCTCACCGATAATGCATTTGTTATTGAAACATTTATTGCAGCATACGTGTTTGTCTCTCTTTCTCCATCATTGCAGTTCAATGGCAGTTTGTGTCTTACATATAAGTTTTCCAACATCAGTTCTGTCAATGTACAGACTGCAAATCTGTTGTTGTCACACAATAGGCACCTGTAGCAGCAGCATATCCACGTTTCATTGCTCTGTGTGTGTGTGTGTGTGTGTGTGTGTGTGGATTGGGTTCCTCTTTATTTTTTCCTGCAGACATCTCTGTGAATAAAACAAAAACAGTAGGAAAACTTTTCCAGGTTGGACAACCATGATGTTTACCTGCAGTGCTCTGCCCCCTCCTCTGTGCCTGGGCTTACTGCATCCCCCTGCGGCTCTCTCCTCGCCCCTGAACCGGTCACTCCACTCAGGCGTCTTGGTAGAAGATCTCCCCTGATTAAGCCAGCCTGTCAGCTTCATACATCGGACTTTCTCTTCCAGAAGTCCCGTGGACAGTCTCCCGCTCAGCCCGGGCCCGGGCGGCCCTCCCCGGGCATTGGAAGCCGGCACAGAGCGCTCTGTGCTCCAGAGCCCCGTCCGCTGTAATGCAGCCATAATCTCATCTACAATGAAGCAAGCAGAGGTGATGTGGTGATTGCCTTTATGGTGCCACCTCCTTGATTAGTTTCCAGCCGGCCTCATTAGACTTCAATTTGATCAATTTGTCAAGTATCTGTCAGATATTCAGTATATAGTGGTAGGGTACAGCCTGTAGCCTCATCAGAAAAACATATCCTCAGTTAGTTAGCTCCATAAAATAAATGAGTGAGTGAATGAATGAATAAATAAATGAATAAATAAATAAACCTATATAGTCGTAGTATTCAATATTCATTATTATTTTTCATGAAGTTAATTTTAAACTAATGATATCATTTGCATAAGGAGTCTAGATGTGAATCATACTGTAACTGTTTGTTTAAAAAGCATAATTTTGGCCTAATAAAGCTAAAACTGTGACAGGATGAACGGAGTGTATCACTAAGGGACAGCTCACGAGTGCTTCAGACCGCCCTTCTTAAGATATACCTTTCAGAAGATATATCTTCACTAATGAAACCCTGAGAAACAGCCCGTAAGCTTAAGGGAGACCTTAGGATACAACTTACGATGCATGTGGCGCTACGAAGGCTCTGGGTAACAGGGCCCAGTATAGTAATGTTTCCATACCAGGCAGTGATGTTCCCTGCCAGGACACCCTCAATGGTGCAGAAGAGAAATTCCTCAATATTGGAGGGGATACCTGGAATTTCCTCAGGCGTCTGAGGTAGAACAGTCTGTGCCTTGCCTTTCTCACCACTGAGTGGGGATGTGGACACCAAGGTACTTGAAACTATCCACCCTCTCCACTGAGGACCCGTTGATATTAAGGGAGGCGTTGACCTGATACCAACAGGCCAGGTCCTCTACTAGGGGTGGGAATCACCAGAAGCTCCGTGACACGATATTATCACAATACTTTAGTCACAATACAATATTACTAGGTTTTAAAATGTGTTGTGATATGCTGAGTATTGTTATAAATTATACTGCGATATATTGTGGTTTATGACCTGTATAACTGGTTTATGAACTGCAAATAATGTCCCCAAAGGAAAACTTTGTCAACATCTGTATATCTAACAAGATAAAGTTTTCTGTGTGTTTATCTCACTTCATTTTTTGCAAAATGTGTGTTTGGTACAAACATGCACTTGGACTCAACAATAAACTGATTTTTGGTGGTCAGTGGTCAAGGTCATTGTGACCTCACAGTTTTTGCCCATAACTTAAAAATTAATACACTTATTATGACAAAATTTCACACAAATGTTTAACAGGATAAAATGATGAGGTGATGACATTTTATATCCAAAAGGTCAAAGGGCAGCTTCACTGTGACATCGTAATGTTCTGCAAAAACACTTTTATGGCCATTACTCAATGTCATATCTCAGGAACACAAGGGGAGGAGACATTTGGTCAGATACTGAATTGGTGACTTTAATCTTGGGTGTCTACCTTGAAACTGTGGTGATTTAATAGATCTTTTGTGCTAATAAAGGAAAATGTGTGTGAATCATCTATTGATTTTACAGACATGGATGTAAACTGTGAGTACATGGCCGGTGCATGGAGGCATACAACTGCGTGGCAGTAATTCTAATTTTGTAAGCAATGAGGATTTTTGCCAACATTATGGCTGTGCTTACACCTTTGTATCCAACCAGTGTGAGGTTGATTTCTTGTAGTCTTTACCCTGTTTGAATGTTGTAGTAATGCTAGTGTGTCCTCTAGACTTAAATTTTCCTTTAACATTAGTACTGCAGGTGTTACACAGTTGGTGATTTGTAAAGGCTTCCATGTGTCTTGACCATTTCTTACCAAGATGCTATCTTTATCTCCATCGATCTCCCCTCTCAGGCAAACAGGACTCCTGGTAATGGGACAGGAGAGAAGTCAGAGTTACCAGATGGTTAAGAACACCCTGCAGAGGAACAAGGTTCCAATGATGATCCTGAGCAGCGACAACTTCAGTCAGCACATCCCCCATGTCATCCTGGCTGAGGGAGATGAAGCAGTGGTAGACATAACTGCTGGAGTACTGTATGCTGACCGTGCACTCAAGGCTGTACAGGTACAACACAGATACTGATGTCATGAGCCAAGGCCAATCATGTAGTCGACTCAGGACATGAGATGGACTACCCAGTATGATGCAGTTTAAGACAAAAGCTCATCCTCATGAGGTTTTATCTTATTTTTAAACATTTATCTTTATTTTTAAACATCCACCACTTTTTTTTTTTTTTTAGTAATGTTGCAGTTGTTGACCAAGCTGATGCAAAGCTTGGTTTGCTTTTGAATTACCTTCATGACTTCACGCATGACTGTGAAGTTTAACAAAGACTAATCATGGAGATCTATAGAGTTTATTCACCTCACAACCCATATCTTAATATTTTCCAAAGACTTTTAAGGTCTGTCTCACCTTGTTATATAAAAGAGTGCACACAGTGTCTACGTCCTTCATGTGCTGAAAGGCATGGCCATTTCAGATACATTTTGTGTGAAATTGCCAGCATTATTTAATGCATCAGTGCAAATTAGCCAGTCTGCTATTCAAATAGATATTTCAATAAAACATAAAGTGACCTTCATGTCTGTTCCAGGTAGAAAGTCGTGTCTTGATTTAAGAAATCTGTACCATACAAAATTTACAAAAGAACAAGTAAGAGAATTGGACTGTAAAATACCAAGATGTGGATAACTGAACATATTTCATGCCCATTGTTTTAATCTAATAATAGCTCACACTGTTAATGTCTTTCAGCTATAAATTCACATTACTGGACTCTGTGTGCACTGAGAAAAGCCAGTGGAGGAGAACAGACGTATCCATGGCTGCCAGGTCAAGCACAGAACATTGCTTTGTTATTTCAGTGAGGTGCCATTTTCAATTGACTGGACAGATTGTTCTGCTGCTTTTTTGTGAAGCAGCAATCACGTATATATTAAAGCTTGTAGTGACAGGTGTGTAACAGATAGGTAGGCATTTCTATGCCATGACTATTTTGTAGCTTCTTGCCTTTAATATTATGTTTATATATACACTGCTCAAAAAATTAAGGGAACACTTAAATCACACATTAGATCTTGCTGAACGAATTATTCAAGTGGAAAATATTTACTGATGTACATTGTGTAACTTGTTGAGAACAAAATGATGGTCAGTGGAAACCAAAATCATCACCCCACAGAGGGCTGGAGTCAAAATCACACTGAAAATCAAAGTAAAAATTGAAATCACAGGCTGATCCAACTTGCTTGAATTTTATCACGGTAACTCATAATGTGACTTGTTAGTGTCTATGGCCCCGTCGTGCCTGAATGCAACAAGGTCTGGGAATGCTCTTGAGGAGTCGGCGGATGGTGTCCTGGGGGATCTCCTCCCAGATCTGGATCAGGGTATTTGTGGTGGTACTTGCGCATGCACTGATACATAACGTCCCATAGGTGCTCAATTGAATTAAGGTCAGAGGAATGAGAAGGCCAGTCAGTGGCATCAATGCCTTCGTCATCCAGGAACTGCTTTCACACTCTGGCCTCATGAGGTTGGGCATTGTCCTGCACCAGGAGGAACCCAGGGCCCAATGCACCAGCTTAAGGTCTGACAATCGCTCCTAACAGCAGTCAGGGTACCGCTGACAATGAAGGAGGTCTGTGCAACCCTACAAGGATATGCTTCCCAGACCATCACTGACCCACTGCCAAACTAGTCATGCTGGATGATGTTACAGGCAGCATAACATTCATCACGGCATCTTCAGACTCTTCCACGCCTGTCACATGTGCTCAGTGTGAACCTGTGCTAATTTGTGGAGAAAACAGGGCACCAGGGTTGGACCTGCCAATTCTAGTGTTTTCTGGCGAACGGCAGTCAAGCTGCACGGTACTGGCCTGTGAGCACAGGTCACAATAGAGGACCTTGGGCCCTCATGCCACCCTCATGGAGTCTGTTTCTGACAGTTTGGTCAAAACATGCACACCAGTAGCCTGCTGGAGGTCATTTTGTAGGGCTCTAGCAGTGCTCTTCCTGTTCCTCCTCACATGAAGGAGCAGATACCGGTACTGCTGCTGGGCTGATGCCCTTCTACGGCCCTGTTCAGCTCTTCTCGTGTTACTGCCGGTCTCCTGGTGTCTTCTCCTTGCTCTTGAGACTGTGCTGGGAGATAGCAAATGTTCTTGCAACCACATGTATGGATGTACCATCCTGGAGGAGCTGGACCGCCTCATGCTACCAGTAGTGACAAGGACACTAGCAGAACACAAAACTAGTGAAGAATCAGTCAGGATGGATAAGGAGAGAGCAACTGTCTGTGGCCACCACATGTAAAACATTCCCTTTTTGGGAATTGTCTTGCTTTTGCCTCTCCATTGCACCTGTTGTCACTTTCATTTGCACCAAAGCAGGTGAAACTGATTTACAATCACTTGTGCTGCCCAAATGGACAGATTGATATAACTGAGGTTTAACTGACTTTGTGTTATACTGTGACGATCAAGTGCTCCCTTATTTTTTTTGAATACTTGAATACTTCATATCTCAGAGTGGCACAGTTCATTATATTTTCTTTTTTTCTCTCTTCCAAAACAAACTCTTCTGATTTTCCCTCATTACTGCAGAGGAAACTCAGGTCTGTTTGGGGCTCTAAACAGTTTGATGACCACACCCCAACATTCTTGATCAAGTGACTGCAGTGACCAAGGCAGGCTGAACTATGCATTTTGTTGTGACACAAAAGCCCAGTTCACCTATGGGTAAATTGTTTCGGGAAAATGGATAAATCAGGATAAGTAGGTAATTGGATAGTGTGTTCATGCACTGTGGTAACCTGGCTTCTGTAAAATTCACATGAATATGAATGAATGAATGAATGAGTGAATGAATGAATGAATGAATGAATGTTTTTTAAATTTCGAACATGTGCAAAAAAACTACAAAACAAACAAACAAAATTAAATTAAAAACATGCAAAAACCTTAAAGCACCTTAAGCAATAAACCTAAACAATGTGTTACATGTCCGAATATATGCAGCATGTAGATAGTCAGATTCCTGCCCTACAGTGGCCTTACTCTGGAACCACTGGACCACATGCATGATTGATTGATTGATTGATTGATTGATTGATCTGTTTATTTAAGTGTCAAACACCATAATTGGTGCCCAGCCCTCATTAGTCTCGCCACCAGACAATCAGAGATCTCTGGCTTCTGATAGTCTGGGGACACTCCTTTCTAAAGCGTGTTTAACACACCAGCGAAAACGGCCGGCAACACCTCTTGCATTTTTTAAAAGGACACGCCCTCCCGGAAATGTGCGCTCCCCCTTTTCTCGTCCGAGCTTGAAAATGGATGCCGAGAGATTAAACTCCGTTTTATCAAACGTGTGCTCAGTCCACAAGATTGTGGAAATGAAGGACGTACGGCAACGTTGTTTAAAACTTTTAATGCACTCGGACTATGTTTACAAGCACAAGAGTTCATTGAGCCACCGAAGGACTGCCCTGCGGATTTACTATTGGTTCTGCAACGTAGGGAGTTTTTTTAAACTCTGAAATTGTATCCGCCCATCTAAACACAAAATCAGGGAGAAAGTCATCAGTCTTTAGTTAAGCAAAGCATCTAAAGACTGACTTGTGAGTCTAAGCCCTCATGGGCTTATTAGACACTGAACAATAAATAATACATCAAATAATTCCACGATTACATCCATGATAACCATGTGACATAATACATAACATAACAAAACCTCTGAGAATAGGGACACATACAAATAAAAAAAAAATAGTTTGTTATACAGGGTACAAAATACTTTGCCGCAAATACCACGCCTTTTCTATAAATTTTGCCAAAGCAAAAACATTATTTTCAAATAACCAACACAGAATCTCACCTTCATATTTCCAAAATAGATCAGGATTTAAGTGAATTGATTCAAAAAGAGAATTCCTTAAATCACTATATAAAGGACAATGAAAAACAAAATGAAATTCATCTTCCACAACCTGGAGATCACAAAATTCACACAAATGTAAATCTTCTTGTATGCCTTTAAATCTTTCCACTTCTACTGCCAGAGGTAAGGTACCAGTTCTCAATTGAGCACAGAGGGACCTCTGCCTTCTCTTTAAATTAAGACAATATAAGGTTCTGTAGCATAATCATGCATGAATTATGGATAAACACAGATTTGATCTGAAAGTGTTCCTGCAGACAGTTTTTAAACTTTTGTGGCATTCAGCAACACTGGCATACTTCCCACTTGTTCATAGAGTATCCTAGACCAGTGGTTCCCAACTGGTGGGTTGCGAGGCCATTCTGAATGAACCAAAAATTACTTGCAAACGTGTCAAAGAGGTAAAAAACAAAACAAACAAACAAACATTTTTTAAGTGCAGTAAATTTCCAGCACAGAGCTTTTATTTTGAATTGCTGTGTTCTCCTGTAGAATGAGTGACTAACCAACAGCTACTTGACAGAGACAGCAAACTTGCTCATCGACATGGCCAAATTCAAGTATGACGCTGAATGTATTAAACTGTGGGACCTCGAACTAATGTCTAAGGAGAAATCTGGGCCCTCTGGCTGGACCAGTTGAGAACCACTGCACTAGACCACATGTACCACAGCACACACAACAGCCAACTTGTGTTTTGTGCTGTGAAATATAAATAATGATGATGAAAACAGGAGGAAAAAAATGTTCTAAAATTATTTATTTGTTTAATCATTTTAAATGTTCACCTATTAAATATGATTAAGTCCACCCTAAATGACAAAGAAATTAGATCAAAATTTTCCCCCTGCATGTGCACCCAGCTCCACATTGATTATCATGTGTATGTGCAGCTTTTTGAATCTCATGAAAATAATGCATTTATGCATATTTCTGTCCTTTTAGTCATGAATATACTTCTTGTCACTGTTTGTAGCTGTCAACCAGTAAAACTGCCCAGTACAGCATTCATTTGGAAATTTGCTCTCTTACACACAGATTACATTATACTTATTATTTTATTCATACAATTAGGCAATGCTATTGATGTATCTGATAATAAAAAAAAATGACAACTTAATTCTAGTGATTCTGGATGATCATATATAATACTCCAAAGTACTGTTTTTATAACGTGAAAAATTCAAATTTGAAAACATTTTAACAGAGCGCTTAAGTTTATTTGTGCATATGCTTCAGATAACATCTGCAGGTTTTTCAGCTTAATGATTATATCACAGCAAAATCAAACGTAAATCATAGTAGTATCATTAGATGCCGAAAAAGCATTCAGTAAAGTAAACTGGACTTTTTTTTTAGCACTCTGCACAAATTTGATTTTGGAGAGTCATTCATCCATTACAAAAGAACAGTGTACACCTCAACTAGAGCCACAATAATCACAAACAAGGTCACCTCATCTCATCCCTATTCACCTTTTTTATAGAACCACTTGTAGTAGGAATATAGCAAAACAATTCAATTGAATTGCCAATTCACAACATGAAATCAGCTTTGATGCAGATGATTAATTATTATATTTACAGAACTCTTCCATGTCACTGCAGGAAACTTTCAATATTATTAACAATTTGTCCACAGTCTCCAGCTACATAATAAAGTGGAACAAACTACAACTACACTACCACTGTCTGAAGACGCTTGGGATTCTACAGTATAAAATATTTAGGTATTTATATTTTACCAAGAGTGTGAGAACTCTTCAACCTCAATTACACCTCGGCAAAAAAAAATAGAAGACAACTTCAAATGCTGAACCAAGGTTCTACTCACTCTAATTGGATGAATCGCTCACCCTCAGTTTTTTTTTATTTTTTATGCTACCCTCCACCCCCACCAACAAGTGGTTCACAACACTCATCGCATGAACTACTCAATTTTACTGGAAAAAAACCCCAAAAAATCGAGAATCTTATTTCCAACTTTAAAAAATGGAAAAAGTGTGGCTTGGGAACCAGAGGGTCGCTGATTCAAGTCCCAATGCAGACTAAGTATGGAATGTGGACTGCTAGCTGTACAGGTGCTAGTTCACCTCCTGAGCACTGCCAAGGTGCCCTTGAATAAGGCACTGAATTCCCAATTGCTCTGGGTGCCTGTCCAAGGCATCCTTCTCACTCTGACATCTCTCCATTCAATGCATGTATAGCTCCTGTGTGCATGTGTGTGTATTTCTGGCCTGTGTATACATGACAACAGAGTTAAAAAACTGAATTTCCTCTCTGGTATTAATAAAGTCTTCTTTTTCATATTCGTCTTCTTCCTTTCCCAGGGGCAGTTTCAGAAGTTGGGTGGGGTCATAAGAGACAAAGAGAAGGTAATGGACATCAAGCCTGGCCCTGTTGTGACAGTGTCAACCTCCAATGGTGTTTATCGAGCCAAGCGTGTGGTGATCACCGCTGGACCCTGGGCTAATCAACTGCTGGCCCACACTGGCTTACAGTTGCCACTAGAGGTATTTAAACTGTTAGTGTCCCACAGTAATGTTCATACAGCTGCCTATGTATCAGTATTGTACTCAGGCATGAATTGAAGTCAAATATTAGGATTCAAGAGGTTAACATACATGTAAATGATACCAAAAGCTAAGTTTCATTGTCAACACTTATATTTAACTGCATGTCAAAACTGTGAGATACAAAAGGTTAAATAGATCTACGTGGTGTGTGAACAGATTGCATTTGTGAGCACCAGAGTTGACCCCAGAAATTCTTCACAGGAGTGGCCAAATGGGGATACTGAATATCTTGGGTGGCACATCAAAACCAAAAGCCATAATGGAATTTTAGAAATTCAGTTATGCTGCTGATATATAGGGAAGTTGAAAAGAGGCATCTTGTAGGTCATTCCTCATTTAAACCTTGTGAATCAGCCATTCCTCGACCACTGTGGCACTTCCAATGCAAGCAACAGAATGAAAGTAGAAACAGGGTGTCTGACAAAAGCTACCAAAACCAACTTTGAAAGTAAAAACAAGTCGCCGCAATGCTTGTGGGCAGTTAGGTCAGTCCAATAGAAAACAGCGTAATCAAACTGATTTAGTTGCTGATGCTCACTCACGTTGCATCCAGTTAGGACATGGTGTAAAGCAGTTTCATGTTACAAATCAGTGTTACCTGATGCTATTTGGCATGTCAGAGACAGGCCACTAGCCCAGGACCTGCTTATCTGTGCCCTCCTGTTTTATCTGATAAAATAAGATCCAGATGTTCAAGAGGTTTTTAACTGGAGCTGAATGACCCTTAGAGGCCACTTCCTCTCCAAAACAAACGGACCCAGTGATTTAAACCGGTAAAAACACTAGATAAAGCAGTTTCATGTTACATAGTATTTCTGACCCTGCTCGTCACAGAGGGGCTGCAAACCATGGTGGCTAACACAAAAGCATGAATGTCCCTATCTAGAGCCAGCGTTTGGTTTGTCCATTCTGGGCTACAGTCGAAACATGGCGGTGAAACATGGCGATGTCCGTGGATGAGGACCCGCTCCCTCTGTAGATATAAATGGCCTCTTCTAAGGTAACAAAAACAGAATTCTTATTTTCGGGTGATTATACCCTAAAGAAAACATACTAATTTTGAAGGGAACATTGATGGTAAGGAACATAACATTCACTGGGAACAAAAGTTGTCAAGTTTAGGGGAGACTGGTGGGTACCCATAGAACTCATTTTCATTCAGATATCTTGAGGAGAGAGTTTAAGGGAGTTCACCTTTGAAAATGCCCATGCCAGTTGTTCCCGTGACCTAACTTTGAGCAATATTTACCCCCCATCCAAACCAGCTATGCCGACATGGTTGGTACCAGTGGATGCCTTAGGTTGTCTAGTTTCATAATGTGTACCACTACTAGCTTAAAAGATGAGCATGCCACAACCTCTTTAAGACAGTCATGCCAGTCTCCAGTGATTTTTGCCAGGGAGTGAGTGGGAAGGCCATTTCCACGTTCCTTCCATAGCTAGTGAACACTTTGATCAAGATGCTTAACACTGTCACACAAAGACAGTACTATGCAAAAAATGAAACACAAACTGCTATGTGTATGCATGGTCCAAAGTATGTGTGAGGTTTGCACAATCATTATATATGCATTATGCACAAATTTATGTGCAGGAAATAGTAAATGCATTTTTTTTTTGTGTGTGCATGATTCACACATCAGGCCCCAAATATATAGTACAATCAGCCACACGTTTCCCATTAGACTCTGTATGTTGTTAGACACTGTCTTGCAACTTTAACTCGTCCTTCTCTAACCAGTTTCACTGTCTTTCACCACTGGAATCTTGCCCTGCCTCCCCTTTAAATGACCACCTGAAGATGCCACAGAAACAAAAGCAATTCTCCTCCATATTTAAACAGCTCAGAGGCCTTAGTCAGCAAGGCAGTATTTTCCATCTTGCAATATGCCACACAGCCTGAAAAGAGAAGGTGATGGGAAAACAAGCAGACAGCTGTTAGAGTGGAGAATTGGAGTTGATATTGGAATTGCATTATTCAGGCTAGCAGCAGGCTGGGGGGCCTGGGGAATGCCATGCCTGAGTGAGCTGGTAGAAAAGCACAGGCTCTGAGCTCGTTGGCTCGCTGGAGCACTTCTGTCTGAATTTTTATGGTCCCTGGGAATGAGTGCACGGCCGGTTAGTTCATTACATTGAAAGCTCCTGAACAATGTGTCCTTATTATTGCCACACTCAGATGGATGTCATTTGTACAACCATGTGTACATTTCATTAAATCCCAATTCTCACTTCACCACCGCAGAGCTACTTTTGTAATTGCACTTCTATTAGACAGAAAAAAAGGTGATGAGGAGGATGGAGTAGGTGTTATGGAGGTTTGTATTTTAGGTTTAATCAGCATGGGGGTTTTTTTGCTGCTAATTCTGTGCAAGTATGTACTCATTCAGGTGTTGGGCTTCTTGCAGAGAGTGAGTGTAGTATTAATCAATTGTAAGGAAATATATAATTACTGAAAATATATCCATCATATCTGATCATATCTACAGCTACCAAGTTTGCCATGACATTTTGTTTAAAGATTTTAATACCTCAGAGGTCAGTTCCTAGGGGCTGTAATGACCCCCAGATCTCTCCCCTAGCACCGCCATCAGGCCCAAAATCCCATTTGAACAACGCTCCTGCCAACATCTGGGAATTAGTTATCACATTTCCATCAAATTAGATGTGGATATTTATGGTCCCTAATGGTTTTTGGTGTCCTTGTGACCTTTCCTCTTGCACCATCTGTTTCAACACACAATTCTGAAAAAGGAATAAGCAGACTGGTATGAAATTTACTGAGCACAGCACATTGATACTGCTCAGAGGATGAACTCTTTGTATTTTGTACTACTATCAGGCTAAATTGTCAAGCATGTCTGCAGACCATATCTAATCAAACACGTTTATGAACAGTTTTCAAGTAGGAGATCAAGTTTTGATGCGCAAATGGTGTGGTTTGGCAAAAGTAAAATTAGTAAAATGCTAGTAAATAGTAAAAAAGAAATGTGTGCTGCTTTTGCATCTGCTCCTTGGCACAGCAGGTTGTTGTATTTCCATCTGAGTACAAGCTTGTAATACAATTTTGCATGTTAGTTGAACTTTTGCATACATTTTGAAATATTTATCCATTTGCGCTGGTGATAGCCGTGGCCAGAGGCATTATGTTCTCTGGTTGTCCGTCCATCTGTCTGTCTGTCTGTCTATCTCATTTTTGTGAAGGCGATATCTCATGAATGCCTTGAGGGAATTTCTTCCGAATTTGACACAAATATCCACTTGAACTCAAGAATGAACTGATTAGATTATGGTGGTCAAAAGTCAAGGTCATTGTGAGCTTGCATCTGTCTCATTCTTGTTAATGCGATATCTCAAGTAGGCCTTGAGGGAGTTTCCTCAAATTTGGCACAAACGTCCACTTGGACTGAACAATGAACAGATTAGAATTTGGTGGTGGAATGTGGAAGGTCAAGTCACTGTGTCCTCACAAAATATGTTTTTGGCTCAAGAACGTATACTCAAGTTCTGATCAAATTTGACATCCGTCTAATAGAATATCAGTATCAAAGTGATGACATTTTTATATCCAAAAGGTCAAAGGTCACCTTCACAGTAACATCATAATGTTCTGCAAAAACATATTTCTGGCCATTATTCAATGTCATATCTAAAGAACAGAAGGGGAGACATTTGGTCAGACCTGAAATGCAGACACTAATCTTGGTATCCACTTTGAAACTTCACCAGGTGAAGCCAAACTCTGTGTTCTATAGAGAAGATGCGTGTGAAGCATCCATGTTTTCACAGACATGGATGTGAAGTGTAGGAGAAACTTGATTGGTTTGTGGAGGCATTCAAATGGGAAGCTGTAATTCTTGTTTGTCTTTACAAGACACTTCATGTCTACACTATGGCTCCTATTCAACCTCTGCAGTATTTTGTAAAATCTCAAATGTGTGCAAAGAGACAGCCTAGCCTCAGTCAGAAAAACTAAAAAGAAAAAATCCAATAAGCAGCCCCAATAAGCAGCCCCAATTAGGTATGGTTAAACAAAATGACCATAACATGTTCAGTAATTAAACGATAATTTACCCAGTTTTGTTTTTGTTTTTCTTGAAATCAAATTTATCATAACTATAATTTGATCACATCCATAAAAATATTTTTTCTCAATGCGTGTAAACTAAAATTTTGTCAGTAAGACAGTAAAACCTGTGTTTTTAGCAAAGCTAGTCAAACCTCAGATGTGACCTCGCTAAGGTGAGTAGAGAGTGTTCTCCACATAGCATTTGTTATTCCAGATACATAAAAAGAAAGCAAATGCTTACTCTTGCCTCATAAGCACCTCTGGTGGCCATGGAAATTATGACTTATCTGTCAGGGGCAAAGGCAGATGCAGCATATTGTTATTAGCACTGCAAAACATCATTGGGAGTAGGGCTGCACGATATTGGAAAGAAACTGACATTGGGATTTTAATTTTTTTTGCAATATATATTGCGATATTAAAAAATACAAGAATTTTCACCAGAAGACTTGAATAGCTCTATTTGGAAAGAATTAGGTTGACTCACCATGATACCATTGCATTCATAAAATACCCTTCTATTAATCCAGGCTAAGGTCAATGATTTAACATGACATACTCTAAAGTAAGGGGGTTCATCTGTGAATGAAGTGGAGTGGATCATGTTTTTAACCTCTCTAACTCCGCCAGGATGCCGACGTCCTTGCTCCCCTCCTCCTCTGTTAAATGGTATCTCCCAGGTGCACTACCTCATCAAACCCTGTGATGTTTGGTATTGCCGGATTCAGGAAGCTCTCAACTTTTCAAAAATAACATTGTTTTTCTTTTATTTATTCTGTATTCTGCACCAGAGCAGCCTAAACACACAAAGTCCAAAATCGCGATGAGTGATGACAAGTCATGTCATGCTGTTTTTCAATGGGAAAAGTTA